CGCCCTTCCCCCACCGCCCGCTTCCTCACTCGGCGCTGCCGGCCACTCCCGCTCACCGAAGGTCGGCCCGGTGCCCGCCGCGCCACCCACCTGGCTTTTAGCAAAGGCTCGCTTCACAAGGGCGTGACACGCGGGGCTCCACGCATGGCTCTGCTGTCACTATCTTGAAATTTTTAATAATTTTTGGACAAGAGCCCCCACGAAGCGTGTGGCCAGCCCCGGTTTCAGAGGACAGCTTCGTCCTGGGTTTTCTGCGGCTGCCCCGCCCCGGCCCGCGGCTTTGCGGGCGCCAGTCCCTCTGCGCGGTGCTCGCGGCCTCCCCCGCCGCCCCTGGCCATGTCCGGCTGCAGCCGAGGTCCTGCGACTGCCTCTGCCGTTCCTGCCTCCCACACAGGCCTGTGACTCTGGCTCCTAAGTACTGCTCCCCCTTCCTTTTTAGCGCCCCTGCCCCCCTCGTTAACAAGCCCCCGTGCCCTCTGCCGAGCACCCTGGCGGCCCTCCAGCTCGCCGGCCTCACTCGGCCTCGGCTTCCAACCGCCCGCCACGCGATCCCTCCCGGCGCAGACCGAGCTCCGCAGTCCAGCCTTCCTGCCACAGCGAGTGTTCTCCCTGAGACACTGTGACTGTGCTGCTGTATTCCTTAAAGTTTTCTACTTCCCCCGACTCCTTGGCATGAAGCACAGAGCCCTGACGTTATAAGCTGACTCCTGCTTCTCCGGCCGTGTCTCCGCCGACCCACCTGCCACTGAGGTCAGTCCGAAGCCGTGGCACCAGCACCGCGCTTGGCACAGAATAAATGCTCTAACGGCGAATGAACAGTATTAGCTTCTCTCAGCAATTTATATTCAAGATTATGAAGCCTAGAACATCGAAGCGGAAGAGGTGGTGTCACCACATCGCCTGGTCGACCTCCACTCGTGACAATCCAGGCCGCTGTCCTCACATTCCTGCAGGAATTCTCGCCGATGACATCTGTCTCAGGTGCAACGCTGTGGGTTGGGCCCACGGTCTACTCTGTGCTTCCAGGGCCGTAGGTGCTCGTGGGGCTTGTGCGGCCCGGTCAGAGCCGACGGGCCCCAGAGGGGTCGCTAGGCCCCCGAGGCGCGTGCGGCAGGGAGGAGGGACGAGCCAGTGCCCGCTTCCATTGGAAATTTTATAGTATTCCTTTATCTCCTGAAACTTCCGCTTGCATCCTACCTCCTCTGTAGAATTTTCTCCTAATATTAAGTAGTTTATATGCTTGAAAGTTTTTCTTTTTTGTATTTCTTTACAGTAAAAACATGGGGATATTGAAATTAAACATTTTTATTTTCTCTGGCCATAGACTCTAAATATTCAATTTTTACATTTTGAGTTATGCAAGTATCATGAATTCATAATTGGTTAGAAAAACAAAAATAAATTATATATTTTTATGATTAAGTATTAGACATAATAAAATTTTGTGGAGAATACACTTCCCGATGAGGTTTACGGGGCTTTAAAAATCCCTTCGTGGATGCACGTGACTGGTAGCCGGGGTGAATCAGCGGCCCACACTCGCGCCTGCACAGAGAAGGAAGTGGGGGTGGGCGGAGCTCCGCCACAGCAATGTCCTTTGGTCGCTGGAATTTCTAAGGTCATAGGTTAAGCATTACAGAGGAAACGATTTTTAAAAAATTCATGTGGTCTAATCCTGAGTACCGCATTTAGTACTTTAGCAATGGTATAAATACTGGGTAGCTGAATACTTGAGTATTTCCTTTTTCGATTTTGTTGGGAAGCAGAGTTGCAACCCCTCCGATGAGCCAAAGGATTTGTTACCGGTAATTACGGCCCTGGGGAAATATACCAAACAGGCTTTCCCAAGACTTGCCAAATGACCACGCAAAACCTCTGAGCCCTTCACCGGAGTAGACCCTCTTTGACCCAGCAGGCACAGCAAGGACCGAGAAAATTACTGTTGACATCCAATAACTTGTCCAATAAACGTGCTTAGACATTTACAAGTCTTCTCAGGTGCTTTTGATTTTGGGGGGTCAGATTTGGAGCTGCAGGCTTGGGTTATTCACCTGAAGGCCCACGCCTACCACGCCGGCCCTCCCCGCCTAGCCGGCCAGCCTAGCGAGGTCTTCCTCAAGAAAGACACTAACTTCACTTTTCAGTTCAAATACCCCTGGCACTTTCTGTGTGCTTGTGACAAGGAGCTCTCTTGCACTGAAAAGAGCCCTGACCTGAGTTCTCTTATGATAATATGTCAAACAATGTCCCGTTTGTTGTTTCTCACTGACACTGTCTTTCCTTGGCCCTCAGGGGACTGACTCTCCATTCTGACTTAGTCCAAATAAGGAGTTTTCCTGCACTTTCTTGAAGAGAGGGACTTTTCTGTAGGAATTGACTCCCATGATGCCTTTCCCCCAGCAGTCCCTAGCGGGCGTGTCTTCTGGGCAAAACCCTGACGGTCCCCACGCATTGCACAACCGTCTGACACTGGCTGTTTTTCTTTCAGATTCCTACTTCCTGAAACCGAGCCAGTTTAGGAGAAACAGTGCATTTCTGGGAGGTTGCGCTACAATTAACTTTTCAGAGTGTTTTCCTCTTCAAGATAAAGGTGAGTATCAGCCTTTAAATGACAAAACTCAGTCGACAGGGTACGAAAGATGGCATAATGTATATGATATGCAAACTACTGATTCTAGGTGGCACATTCTGGACTTTGAAAATTTGGGATCTGTGCTTAGTCTAATGTGAATGAAGAATATAATTGGTTTATAAAAATCTATGACTTCGTGGATATTATTGCTCAGAAAGATGTTAAGTAAAAAGAAAGTGAGCCAATTTACTATCGATTAGAAATAAATGGTTAAATAAATACTATTAGAGGTAACATGCAGATATGGTAAAAGTTGTGATGGTGACATGTAAATGGCTAAAGTTTTGGAAACACTGTACTCTCCGTGTTGAGAGGTGGGTATTTTCTGAGCCAGTGCAGTATCTTTGACCTTCACTGGTCCTTGGTTACAGAGCTCAGTCGATAATACAATCTGTTGAATTTCTAATTATAGATGCATAAAGTATTTGACAGATAAAGAAACATTGTATCAAACTGTCCTCAGGCCATAGTGCTTCGCGTGTCCTTGTGAATTGTGGTGAAATTGGAGGGATGCGGAAGGTAGCGAACATCTTTGAATGACAGTCACAGAGAGGGTGGGAGATTCCCAAGAGAACATTACAGCTCCGTTCTGCCCGTTTCAGACAGGGGTCTCTGAACGGCGGCCGGAGGGGTGGGGTGAGGACTTAAACAGCATCTAGGTCAAGGGCCATAAATGTATCAGGACGTGCCAATGGTCATTAAAAATGGTCATATTGGTCATTTCTTTTTGGGAATCTACTCTAGGGAGGAAATAATTCTAAACATGAGGGAAATTCACTAAAAGGTTCACCACAAAGATTCTTAATAACAAAGAAGTGCAAGCATTCTAACAGAGGAGAAAGGTTAAGTGCATTATGGCATACCCATAGGAAGAGGTGGGTTGGGGACAGTGCTAGCACAGGAAGTGCTCGGTGACAGACACAGCCAGGGTCAGTGACTGCTATGCTCGCAATTGGCGTAGATATACATTCACGAATATTCTAAAAGTGATGGTTGTGTTACGGTGGTACATTGTTTCTTTCCCTTCCTTTTCCCTATTTCTACATATATAATTATATTTTTATGTTGCTTTTTATACTACTATACAATACATTGCTTTGAGAAAATTAATAGAATGCGTCAAATGAAACTGTGCTGCTACATAGTAGATGAAACCGTGTGGGCTGCGGAAGAGAAATCTTCACCTCCTTTCTGTTTGACAAACAAAAAATTTGCCGTGTGAAAGGCGAGGTGTGTCGGAATCGGGGAATACAGGAGAAAATACCAATCGAAACACTTCGTCGACTTTGCTCGTGCGGTCGCTTCCGTGTCCCCCACAGCTTTTAGCGTAGTCAACTTACTCTTGTTTTGAAGAAAAGAAAAAAGGAAGCACAGGCACCTGAGCGGGTGTGTGAGCTGCTCTCTTCTTAGTTTCTCGCCGTGAAGCTTCTTTGGCCTGGGGTCGTTAATCGGTCAGCACACCTCACACTTACGTTCCATTCTGCCACATCGTAGCAGATCCTGATGGTGCACCCCAGGCGTCACCGGAAGGCGCCCAGGAAGCTCTGCCTAGAATCCGACCCCCGCACTGTGTCACTGTGTGTCACTGTGCTGCATTCTCCACTAGTGATTAAGCACCAAAAATCTGCAAAACTGCCAACAAAAGCCTCGCCCATTCATGATTGTCTGTCCTTTCTAAGAAAAAAACATTTAGATCATCATGTGTCCTTTTATTTGGCCACTTCTTCAGGATAAGTTAACCTCTCATTACAGGTTGGAAGCTGAAAGTCACACTTTTCCAAGAAAACCCTATTCCTACCCATATGTTCACTCCCCGAGGCCACGCCCAGAGCTACCTGAGGGGCCATCACACCCGGGGTACGTGTCTCTGGTGAGGTATTAGTGAATCGGTCTGGGGCGCTTTTCCAACAGCTGCAGGTCACTTAGTAAGAAACATTTGAAGCCCTCGAGCTCAGATCCCCGGCCACTCCACAGCCGCCTCCCCGGAGCGAGGGGCACCACACCTCCCCCCACGCCGCTTTCCGGGGCCTCCTTGGCCTCCATGCTGCGCGTCCCGACCACGCGTGTCCCCGACTGTGCGTGTCCACCTCCCCCGCTTGGCACCGGACGCCCTGCCCTCTGCGCTCCCGCCTTGCGCGTCCCCTGGTGGGAATGCCTGCCTGTCGCCGCGCTCACTCGCTGAGCTCTAGCGTCTACATCGAGGTGTCAGCACCTACCCGCTACTAACCACCCATTCGGCACCCGCAGGCATCACACGCCACTGCCATCGGTGTTTTTAATGTGACCTGCGGCACTAAATTCCATCCGCTTGCTCAGGCTAACCCGGCCTTCGCGACCTGCCCTCTGCGTCCGCCCAGCGCCCTCCTTGTCCCTCTCCGTACCGCCCAAGAACCTGGGCTCCACTCACACCTGGGCTTCCTCCTGTGGGGGCACAGCCCTCACCACTGCGGCTCCGCCGCGGGAAGACCATCTGCTTCATCCGGAACCTACCTTTCCTAAAGGTCCAACTCCAACATCACTGGGAAGGCCTGACCGCGGGGCTGCTGTCTGCCAGAGCAGGTGGCCGCTTCGCGCTGCTGGAGCAGACGCTCCCCCGGCCCGACTGCAAGGTGGCGGGCTGCGACTGCTCCCTCTCGGTCTCCGTCCTCGCGGAACCCTTAGGAGGACCGACAGCTCCCAAGCCCCGCGCCTAGCCGGGGGCGGTTGCAGGCGCTCAGCATGGGTTTGCTAATAAATGAAGTTGGGCCACTGCCCCGCTGCTGTTTCTTTAAACGAGACTTACCACTAAAAGTTCCCTAGCCCACAAAGGACACACCTTTTCCTGAAGATTAAATAAAAAATAGACCCATCAACTCAACACTTGAAGAATTACATCTGTTTCTGCACACATACGAAATGGTCCCTGCTCAGCCAGAGACTACGAGGTTGCGGAAGAGGTCTCCCAGATGCCTCTTCCAATTTGCTGCTGTTGAGTAAAACAGCATATCCTGAATGTTTGCTCCATTTCAACAGATTTAAAGATTTGCAAAAGGAATACCATAGATCCTGTATCAGGAGGCTGACGTTTTCAAGCAGCTTGTCCACAGCATGGCCGAGTTTCTACTTGTGTGCTGTTAGGCTTTTTAAAAATATTTTATTGTGTATTGAAAATAACACCTATTCTAGCCTGCTTTTGTCAGTGTGGGTGGGCCTCCCGGCGCAGGACGCTTTTGATTTGAACTGACTGCCCTGTTAGGCGGTGTGAGGTGGTATCTCACCGTGGGAGTTTTTTGCATGCCTTTAATAATAAGTGATGTTGAGCATCTTTTCATGTGCTTATTGGCCACTTGTATATCTTCTTTGGAAAATGTCTAGTTAAGTTCTTCAGCTATTTTTTTTTAATGGGGGTGTTTGTGTTTTTGTTGTTGCGTGGGAGCGATTCTGGATATGAATTCCTTATTAGCTGTATGATTTGTAAATATTTTTCTCATTCCATGGGTTTCTCTTTCACTCTTGATTGTGTCCTTTGAGACACAGAACGTTATAATTTCGATGTGATCCAATTTCTCTGTTCTTTTGTTGCCTGTGATTTTGGTGTCATATCCAAGAAAACATTGCAAAATCCAATATGAAGATTCCCTCCTATGTTTTCTTCTAAGAATTTAAGAGTTTTAGCTCTTATGCTTTTGAGTTAATTTTTGTTTATGGTGTAAGGTAAGGGTTCAACTTTATTCTTTTGCACACGGATATCCAGTTTTCACAGCACCATTTATTTCCCCATTGAATGGCCTTGGCACTTGTCGAAAATCATTTGACTGCAAATGCGAGGCTTTATTTCTGGGCTCTTCCATCCGTCTGTGTGTCTGACTCTATGCCAGCACCACATTGTTTCGATGACTGTAGCTTTGTAGTAAGTTTCGAAATCAGGAAGTGTGAGATCTCCAATTTTGTTCTTTTAAAAGATTGTTTTGGCTATTTAGCATCTCTTGAGATATTCTATAAATTTTAGGATGGATTTTTTTCTATTTTGGGGAAAAAAGGTCATTGGTCTTCAGTGACTTTCTTTTACATAGTTGTTATCACAGCATATTAACAACTTTATGTTCTGTTTTTTCCTACTTAACATTATGATGTATTTATCCCATTAAAAATAAACATTACTTCTTTTATTCAAAAGCGTCAAACACATTTTAGAATGACTACATACTGAAAATGTACAAATGGACGTATAATTGAAATATTAGAAAATATTCATGCCCCAAACAATGTGACCTCTGTATGCGTCAGATACCACAAATATAAAAATGAGAAGTTTGGGTCCAGACATGTCCGAGTATTAGGATGCAGTATATATGCTGTGTAGAAAGGAACGACAAGTGTGTTAGTTTAAAAAACGTTAAGGTATATACGCACATTACTCTTGAGCGGCTCTAGCTCTGGTATTGATTTATCTTCTCAGCAAACGTCACCGAGTCTCCGTGGTCCCCACGCTGGGAACCCGGGGTGTGAATTAGATGCGGTCTTAGCGAGCGAACGGCACAGGTTAGGGCAAGTCCAGACCGTGTCCTGAGCTTCTGCTTTCTTTGTTTAAACTCTGCGTTGTCCCTGTGTGGAAGCGGGGTGAGCCCCACGCAGAGACACCAAGCCAGGGAGCCCCAACGCGCTCTCCCCGCCGAGGGGACACTGGACCGAGTGGGCAGGTCGTCTGCCGGCCCAGCTCAGGCCCCTCGCTGCCCCGTCGCCTTATGGCTGTTGGGACGCAGCACAGGAGACGGGAGAATGAACAGCCAACTGTACCGTGGACAGAAAGGCTGCGACAGCAATGAATTCTGCCAGCTAAGCGTCAAGAAAGACTTTAGAGAAGCGGCAGGATGATGTTAAGACTTGAAAGCAGGATTTCATTAGATAAAAGGTGGGAAGGGCAGCATTCGTTTGTTCGTTCATTCATTCATTCAAAAATTCATTCGTGGGTTCGCAAA